CAAAAAAAAAAAATAACTTTATTTAAAAAAAAAAAAAAAAAAAAAAAAAAAAAAAAAAAAAAAAAAAAAAAAGGCTTTTCCAGATTGCTACAGAACAGGGAATACTTTAAATGACACAGGCATTTATCCTGAAGAAAAGCCATCATTTAAAATTATCTCCTATCCTGGAGATTTCATCAACAGCAGCAGAGAATTCTGACAGATTTTATTTATCTTCCGAATGAAAATTCAGCTTTTTCATCTTAGGAAAATTTGTTAAGATTTTCAGATAGTAACACTACTGTAGCTCCCCTAAATTCCTCCCAGAGCCCTCCTGTTAGCAGAGCAGAAATCCCTGCTTGAATTCTGCCTAACTCCAGGCAGCACGTGTTGCTCCATGGAATTAATCAACCGGACTTCCACGTTCTGCTCTTTAATGAAGCTGCTGATTTAACCTAAAATCAGCACCAATATTAGACAAAATGGGCTGAGAGGCACCTGGAGAGCACCAGGACTGCCTGTGAGAGCTGTCCCCCAAGCTGGCAGAGAAAGGAAAAAGCAGAGGGAGCAGAACTCATCACTTTAATCCCTGACTGTAACTCCAGCAATTCCCTGGTTTCTCAATCCCAGCATAATTCCCCAGGGATCACCGTGGCTGATGATAATTAGCATCTCTTTGACAGTCCCAGCAGAGCCTTCTAAATGAATGGGCATGGAAATTAACACATCCCCGGGATGCAGAGGCAATATCTGCAAAGCAGGATTAAGTCATTCCTGACAGGCAGCTGAGGAAACACCATTCTACCTACACTGAAGTTACCCCCTGTGCACAGATCCTGGCATTTTTCAGGAGAAATTGATTTGTTTAGATCACTCAGAGATACTAAACACTGCTATTCACAGTCCATGCATCTGCTGCAGTGAAAGCAACAGGAATATGTCACTATATTAATGTTAGGAAATCAGTGAAAGGCTTTCCCTGTTCCTTTTGTCCTGCCCTACTGTATATTTCATTCTTTGTATAAATTTGGGTTTACTGTACCATAATCCTCTGGGGCCAAGAGGCAGTTGAGACCAAGGTTCCATAAATTCTCTGTCAGCTGGTTATTAACGTTTATTTTTACAAAGAATATCTCCATGGGAAGTGTTTATGAAGACACATTTTAAAACAACTCCAGCAAGAAGTTTAGTTCCAGCTATACAAAATGTATAAATTGTATTGAGCTCAGTAAGGAAGTTTACATTTCACCCTTCTAGGCTCTATTACCACTGAGTTTTCTATTTGCAAAGTGTATTCTTTTCCTGACATCACCCCTTTCTAAAATCTTTTTAAATAGAACAGTTTTATTAAAAAAAAAATTAAAACAAATAAAAACCAAACCAAACAACAAACCCTACAAAAAACACCCTCACTTCAAACCTTC